TTGTTTTCACGCTTATCCCTGGTACTTCAGCTAGAAATGAGTACAACAAATCTCTAACCTTCAGCTTTTGTCCAAGTTGGGGGGTGTGTGTGTAAGTGTACAGAGCAGGGGGTTGAAGTAAAACTAACAACAAATTCCTGCTCTTTGCTTCTTGCTCCATTCAATTTTTTCTTGAGCACTTGGAGCAAATAATCTTTCTTTTACTGTTTTAAGACTTTGTAGTGCTTCCTTTGTATTTTCCAGTAGGGGCCATCTTTTTGTGGTCTTTATTTCCACAGTGCCAATTAGATCCCCCTTTGACCCTTTTGTTGTTGTTTTAAACAACATTTAATTGTTATTTCATTGTTAGCCTCAACACTGGACTGGACTTACCTTGATGCAAATTGGTGTCATCTACATTTCCCACAATCTCCTTAATTTCCTTAGCCAGTTCCCTTCTTGACCCCCTTTGATTCACTCTGCACAAAATCATAGAATCACAGAACGGTTGGGGTTGGAAGGGACCTTAAAGACCATCTAGTTCCAACCCCCTGCCATGGGCAGGGACACCTCCCACTAGACCAGGGTGCTCAAAGCCTCATCCAGCCTGGCCTTGAACCCTTCCAGGGATGGGACATCCACAGCTTCTCTGGGCAACCTGTGCCAGTGCCTCACCACCCTCTCTGTGAAGAACTTCTTCCTGATATCTAATCTAAACCTCCCCACTTTCAATTTAAACCCGTTACCCCTTGTTCTGTCGCTACAGGCCCTTGCAAAAAGTCCCCCCCAGCTTCCTTGTAGCCCCTTCAGGTACTGAAAGTGAACCTCCTCCGAACACCACGGTTGTCTCTGGCCTCAAGGATTTGGATCACATTTTTTCCTTTTGTCCTTATGTTAGTCAGAACAAAACTTTGCCAAAGCGTCATGCCCTGACACCCTCTTAGCGTCTGCTTCCACGTGTACTGCCACTTCTACAAGTCCTACAAACCCTCATACCCCTGTCATCTTTTTTCCTGCTGCTCAACTGCGAGTTTACTTGAAGATTTCTTTCTTGTGGTTGTTCTTGTTGTCGGAATCCTCACCTTTCTCGGAGTTTCACGCAGCCCATATAATGTCTTTGCCTTCTCTAGCCTCAGCTAACTTAACCTCTCATCAGTCTGTGCCCGTGCTGTTCCATAAGTCAATTACCTCTTGTTCACCCGTTGAGTAACTCCTTATCTTTGAAATCCATTTTATGTTTTCCATTCCCTGTGTTCTTTACAATGCTTCAGTGAATTAATTGTGTTTTCAAAGGGTACAAGAGCATCAGTTAACATCCCCAGTCTTCTATAGCAACGGTGGTGCAAGAAGCAAACATAACCTTCTACAGGCATGTTTGCAGCTCCTTTGAGCAGAGGAGCTGTGCTTGGTTACGCACCAAACAACGTGTACTGGGTTTGCGTGGCCAGGGCTTGGTAGCGGGGAGAGGGGGGCACTCCAGGGGTGGCTTCTGTGAGAAGCTGCTGGAAGCCTTCCCTGTGTCCCACAGAGCCAGTGCCAGCCGGCTCCAGGAGGCCAAGGCTGAGCCCATCAGTGATGGTGGCAGCACCTCTGGGGTAACACATTTGAGAAGAGGGGGAAAAAACAGGGGGAACAACAGCAGCCAGGGAGAAGAGTGAGAATATGTGAGAGCAACAGCCCTGCAGACCCCCAGGTCGGTGGAGAAGGAGGGGGAGAAGGTGCTCCAGGCGCTGGAGCAGAGATTCCCCATCAGCCCATGGTGCAGCCCAGGGAGAGGCCAGCTGTGCCCTGCAGCCATGGAGGGTCACGGGGGAGCAGAGACCCGCCTGCAGCCCAGGGAGGACCCCACGCTGGAGCAGGGGGATGCCCGAAGGAGGCTGTGACCCCCTGGGAAGCCCACGCTGGAGCAGGCTCCTGGCAGGAGCTGTGGCCCCATGGAGAGAGGAGCCCAGGCTGGAGCAGGTTTGCTGGCAGGACTCGTGACCTCGGGGGGGACCCAGGCTGGAGCAGGCTGCTCCTGGAGGACTGCACCCCATGGGAGGGACCCACGCTGGGGCAGTTAATAAAGAACTGCAGTCCCCGGGAAGGACTCATGTTGGAGAAGTTCATGGGGGACTGTCTGCCATGGGAGGGACCCCAGGCTGGATGAGGGGCAGAGTGTGAGGTTCCTGCCCTGAGGAGGAAGGAGCAGCAGAGACAGCGTGTGATGGACTGACGACAGTCCCATTCCCTGTCACCCTGCGCCGCTCGGGGGAGGAGGGAGAGAAATGGGGAGCAAAGCTGAGCCCAAGAAGAAGGGAGGGGTGGGGGGAAGAGGTTTTAAGATTTGGTTTTATTTCTCACTACCTTACTCTGATTTCTTTGGTAACAAATTAAACCAAACTAATTTCTCCAAGTTGAGTCTCTTTAGCCCATGACGGTAACTGGTGAGTGACCCCTCCCTGTACCTGGCCCAGGAGCTTTTCCTTGTATTTCCTCTCCCCTGCCCAGCTGAGGAGGGCAGTGACAGAGCGGCTTTGGTGGGCACCTGCCCTCCAGCCAGGGTCACCCACCACACAATCCCACAAAACAGACTCAGTGGCCCTTTAGGCCACTCAAGGACTACCACAACAGTCCTGTACAACCATTTCTCAGCATCAAGTGGAGGCTGCAAGTGGAAAAACACAACCAAAGCTCTGCAGGCTTCTGGCTGCAGAAGCACCACAGGCCACAGGACCTGACCTTCAGTCCTTCAGTAAATTCAGTTTCTCATCAACAGAGCAGAGAGCCAGGAGCCATCTTTAGACCTGTGAAATCCCTGCTGCATCACTGCCAGACTTCTAGGTACCACAATGTGTCGCTGTCTTTCAAAATAGCTTTCCAGGAATTTCATCCATGCCATCTGGCTGGCTAGCATTTGCCTATTGCTTAAGAACTGCTGGAGAATTTAGTCAAATCCTCGATCCCTATTTTCTTTGGGCAGGACTTTCTTTGCCCCTTCACACCCTCCTTAATGTGGGACTGGCCAAAGCAGCTCTGAGGTTGTTCTTTTCTAATCCCTCTTGCTGCTCAGGTAAGGAAGTAGCAGCTCAGCCTTGGGAAAAGAGACCTCCAGGTAAATTTCTCAGTCTGTATTTAGGTGTCTCCAAGGCCTGATTTCCACCAGTGCCAGTTCCCGCTGACTTCAGTGCCTTGCTTGTGACCCAGCCTACCTTTCATTTCTGTCCCAGCTCGTTCAGCTGCAGGCTCAGAACTGGTGTAACTTCAGCCATGGACTGAGAGCTCACATTAGGATGAGGCAGCTCTTATGGCCATTAGCAAAAGCCCACCCGCAGCCATATTCATCTTCCACGGAGTAACAAAATTCAGTCTTCCCTTGTATAGTGCTTGAGAGGTTTTCCTTCACATCTGCTCCAGCGGGCAGCTCGCCCACAAGGTGCCTTCGTACATGTTATATTCACGCTTGCTTACGTCAGCGCTGTTCCTGGCCTGTGCTTCATGACACAGTAGTACCTTTCCTACTCAGCGCCTTCGAGGCAGGCGTGTCGACGGCGCGTTACTGACCCAGGAAGCATTAAAGCCCTAGTGCTGATGTCTTGGAGAGCTTCACTTAAACTTCTGCTTGGGCTCTAACTGTGGACTTGGAGGACAGAAATAGCTCTTTAATGACAAAGTCACCCCCTGCCAAACATATTTAACAGCATATAAGCATATGTCTGATAGGATATAAGCCAACTGATATTCCCATTATTCTTCAGCTTAAAGGAGTAGCTTGGTAACAATAGTTTGTGAAAACACCTTTTTTTCAACATCCTTCCCAGAATAATCAGCAATATCTTCATTTCTGCAGCTGTCTCTCAGCTCCTCAAGTAAGTCACCAGCTCACTAGCACTAATGGTAGCAGTGCAGACATACCCAAATAAGCAAATAACTTTGTTTTCCAGCAAAAGTCTGGCCAGGGCAGAGGTCACGATGGGCTGCAGAATCAAGGGACAGCAGAAGAAGTACTGAGCTTTCCATCTGTGCTGAGCTTTGTGATGCTGTGACCTGCCCATGGCAGGGGGGTTGGAACTAGATGATCTTTAAGGTCCCTTCCAACCCAAACCATTCTGTGGTTCTATGTGACCACTACTCATACTTGCTGGAAACTTCTCAGATTTCCCTCCTCCCAGGCATTCTGTGTCCTGGGGATATACCTACTTTTTGCTCTTAGAAAACAAAGGAACTTGGCACCCTCCAAGAGCCATGCAGATCTCGGAGGTGGGGCTGTGTGGGAAGGTGACGGTGTGCTTGCTCTTGGTGGTTATCCTAGGTCCTCTTTGGACACTGAGGAGAGCCTGGCTGTCAACAAATCCTTAGGCAGCTCTTCCAAAACAAGCATTTCAGACCTAGGACAGGGGAAGACTTGTCAGGAAAAGAAACTATAAAAGAAAAAACATTTTTGGAGTAAAGTTTAGTGCGTTTCTTAAATAAGTAATACAACAAATAAAGTCCAGTGTGGTAGGACAGGATTTAAAATACTGCCCAAGTTCCCCGAGAATTTAGACCACAAGAAAACAGAAAAAGCAAACAATGTGCATTTTGGTAGTCAACATGTTTTGGGATGCTTGGCCCCTAGACATAAATCAGAAAGTGAAATCTGATTTGACTGTGCTTAGTGTTTGCGTAACTGACAGCGCCAAGTTGAGTGCCCCGAGGGAGAGAGCTCCACCCGATGCCTGGCAGATCCCTGGGAAGAAGAGGCACATTCACTTGCAGAGGACAGTTTAGCAGAATGATTAGGTTTCAGCCTAATCGACAAAACCTACTTTAACAGCAAATAAATTTTGTATAGTAGCCTCAGAGGGTACAAATGATCAGAACTAAGAGCAGCTTGTTGTTGTTTTCCTTTTTAAATGCTTAATCATTTTAAATTGCTTCAGCTACTGATTATATCTCACCTTGAATGAACTTGTAATTTCTCCTCACCCAAGAAAAAGCATCTCTCTGATCTTGTGTTTCTTTGATCCAGCATTTCCTTCCTTCCTTCCTTGACGAGAAAAATGAGCTGGGGATTCCTATGTGATCTACTGAGCGGAGTGAATGAATATTCAACAGGAATTGGAAGGATTTGGGTAACAGTTGTGTTCATATTCCGCTTACTGCTTTACGTTGCAGCCGCAAAAAACACCTGGAAATACAAACATGATGAATTTGAATGCAATATCAGGCAGCCTGGCTGTGAAAATGTCTGCTATGACCATTTTTTTCCTGTCTCTCACATCAGATTTTGGGCTTTGCAATTAATTGTGGTCTCCACCCCTTCGCTCTTGGTTGTTTTTCACGTTGCTTACCGAGAGAACAGAGAGAAACGCCACAAGCAGAAACTTTACCGAGGCCCGGGCGAGACAGATGGTGGGTTGCTGTGCACTTACCTTGTCAGCCTTATTTTAAAAACAGGATTGGAAATAGTTTTCCTTGTTCTGTTTTATAAATTGTACAATGGATTCCATGTACCACGCCTTGTGAAATGTGACATAAGACCATGTCCCAGTACTGTGGACTGCTACATTTCCAAACCCACAGAAAAGACGATTTTCCTCTATTTTCTGGCAGGAACTTCATGCCTGTGCATTGTATTAAATCTAAGTGAACTGAGTTATCTCATTTTCAAATACTCCATAAAATGTTACCTGAGGAAGTGCATCAAGAAACATCAAGGCTCAAAAAGTGATTGCCACGGAACAGAAATCATCGGTCACAAAAGTCCAGCAGCTGCGGGACAGTTCCACAATAGCTCCATGTCCTTGCCTCTGCATGTACATGAACACAAAAAAAGTTCCCTGTGGATTTAAAAGCCAGGTTAGAAACCACCTTCCCGTTCCACAAGCTGTATTTGGTGAATTGCTTTTCCAGTCAGTGCTTCACAGGACTGAAAGGATAGTTGTGTAGGAAGCAGGTATGGAGGAGAATAAATTCAGTCACACTACGTATGGCACGCGTGGCATCATCTGGATCTGTTCGTGTTGAAACAACAGGTGTAGAAGCCTGAAAATTCCATGAAGTTTTAATGTAAACACAGATGCCCATGATAAATCGCGCTGAAACGCTTGCTCAAACGGTTGTGTTTTGAGTATTACGCAGAATTGCTTTGGTACCAGCAAAAAAAAAAGCAAGAGGCTTTTTATACTCAGAGTTGGAAGAACCTGGGATTGATTAAGACACTGAACAGAAAGGGGATATACTGCATCCGTCGTGTGGGTCTGAGAAGCGCTGAAACAGCGATGGGGAAGCACTGACACACAGCAGCTGCTGGTGTCTTGAAGTGAGTCCATTCCACGGGACTACTGTAAAACACCTCAAAAAAAGGAAAAATAAGATAAACACACCTAGTTAAACCCACAGTGATAAAGACAGACCTGGTTATTTAGCTATTTGTGGAGCACTTCCTTCTGGAGGTCTTTGAGCCAGTTTTAGAGTATCATCAGAACACGTCCCTTAAGAAAAGGCGCCTGCCCAAACTCGTAAAGGCAGCGTATGTCAGAGTACAGACCTAACTCCTGGTCACCGAGCAGCTCCTGAATCATTAGACTCTTCTTCTGTTCCCTAGCTGCGGCATTTAAGGGAAAAGATCATTCCCAATTCCCTAGGATCTGAGTAAAGAAACGGAGACTGCACAGTATGGCAAAACATTAGCCAGTAGTGCCAGTACTCGGTAGCCGGGAAGCTGGTCCCTTTAGTAAGGCTGAAAATACTGCTACTCCTTCACAGAATCACAGAATGGTTCGAGCTGGAAGGGACCTTAAAGACCATCTAGTTCCAACCTCCCTGCCACGGGCAGGGACACCTTCCACTAGACCAGGTTGCTCAAAGCCTCATCCAGCCTGGCCTTGAACACTTCCTGCCATAGACAAACACATGAAATCGAAAAATACAAAAAGCCTCTAGCAGAAACAAGGCAAAAAAGAATCACCTATCCCCTCCCCCCAGATTTTAGGACCTCTCTTAAACACCACACACCTCTGCCCTGCGTGATATATGCGGCTTGGGCTAACAGTGAAGGGACAGAGTTAGCTGTGTTGTCTGCCAAACCTACGCTTCCGAGATGATAGAAATGAAATGCCTAACGAGGCTTATTTCAGGATCGTGTTTTCGTTACATTGCTGGGATGAGAGACCCTCAGACATACCTCAGCACCGAGCCTGATCAAAACACACCCTTCGGAGAAAAACACCGCCTGCAGTACATGGAGCTGCCTGGGTGTCGAACCCATTTTACTGGTCGTGCCAGGATCAGGAGGAGGAAACAGGAGCAAAAGCATGTTAACTATTATTGCTGCCTGAACACTGAGCCGGTTTTATTGTTTGTGCCAGGAGAAGGAGGAGGAAACTAGCACAAGGACATTTATTTTTTCATTCCAAAAAACTCCAGCTTTGGTTACAAAGTATTGCTTTTATGAATACTGGGGTAGCAGTTACAGAATTAACTTTCAGAAACTACTGAACAAACTACATTCTTTCGACTGCGATTTTCAAGCTTTTTTTTTGCTACAATAAACCTGCTTTAAGGAAAGGCGAAAATACATTTGCTGCTCTTGAACTTAACAGCACCAGCAGTCTCTCAGGTACCAGTTTGCCAGCTTGTGGCCAGTCCAAGTTTTACATCCCCAGCGACGCTGCATCGCCGTGTGGATCGAGGCAACGTACCTTCCGCAATCCTGAACATTTTCTGTTCAGTCCCTGCATACACAGGATGCAGCCCATGACTGAAACGCCGTTACTCTTCTGCAGCTACTGGACCAAACCCACCAAGCAGCGCACGACGGAAAACCATTGCCCATCAGCCCTGCGTAACCGCAACTGCCACAGTTCGAGTAACTTAGCACAGCTACTAAAATTATCTTGGCCCTTTTATACCCTAATGCACCATTTTTAAGACAATGGAAACACTGTCAAAATTAAAAAAAAAAAAAAAGCTTCCAAAATGTCTGCCTTTTCATTCTTGAGGACAGATTTTAAGAGACCACATTCATGAAAAATTATTTATTAATTATTTTTAAGCTACAGTTTGAGAGAAAACAATCACAGAATGGTTTGGGTTGGAAGGGCCCTTAAAGACCATCTAGTTCCACCCCCCCTGCCATGGGCGGGGACCCCTTCCACTAGACCAGGTTCCTCAAAGCCTCATCCAGCCTGGCCTTGAACACTTCCAGGGATGGGGCATCCACAGCTTCTCTGGGCAACCTGTTCCAGTGCCTCACCACCCTCTCTGGGAAGAACTTCTTCCTGATATCTAATCTAAACCTCCTCACTTTCAATTCAAAACCGCTACCCCTTGTCCTAAGCAAACACAGTTCAGCTAACACAGGTTTCTGACTAGATTTATACATTAGCTGCTCTCTAATAGAAAAATTTTGTTAAGTCAGGGCTTGAAGGGTTTTAAAGCACCCCCTAAAATTCTGTGGCTGGTCAGAGCTTCCCACTTACACCAAACATTTTCCTGTGAAACAAGAACTTTAATTCTTTGGAACAGACATTCAAGGTTTTATTTGTAATTCCTGTATTCAACAGTAACGAAAAGAAAAATAAATTACAAAATCAAAAGGTTTCAAGTCTCAGAGGATTCTTCAGTTTTGACAAAGCGAGTACCTGACATGAGAAATTGTTTGAAAAATTAACGTGGACCAACTCCGTGTAACCCCCTGACTCACTCGTAGCAAACAGCTCGGTGGGTTTTACATCATGTCCTGCAAAATGAGTGTTACAGGACAAACAAAGACACTAACGACAGGGAAATGAGCATCGCACAAGGCAGCGCTGTCAGGTTTTACTTAACCCGAGAAAACAGAGTCAAATCCATCTACTTCCCGTGCCCCTGCTTGTGGCCAGAGTTTGGTCTTTTACTGGCTCCTTCCCGTCCGCAGCTTGTTCCCCACCTTTATACTCCTCTGCGCTCACCCACACATCCCTGAAGTCGTTTGCTCTTAGTTTTTGGTTCAAATGAGTTTGTAGACTCGGTCCCTGAACTAAAGGTTTAAGGGCTTTTTTGAGTATCCAACTTCCGATTCACACACAGAGACAATACTTCCAATTCAAGTGCTATGTGTTTTTCTTTTTAAAACGTGGAAGTAGTGTCTCCTCAATCCCACAGCAGCCGGTAGGAAGCGGCCCTGAGCCCGTACTGTAATGGAATACCAACACGATCGCTGCACGCACATTCATACAAAAATATTTACCTCATTCCTATTTCAAAACTCCTCTGCAAACATTAAAAGCTCCAAATCTTATATAGATCCTCTTTTTCTTTAAAACCCAAGTAGCATCCTTGCCTTCTGACAAACTGGGTTTGAAAAACACGTCCCAGAGAGAAGCAGGGCAGGAGCAGGAGCTGCAGCCCCAGCTCCTGCTTCAGCCAGCTCTCTGGCCCTGCTGGCCTGAGCCGCAGGGTAGTGTGCCCGTGCAGCTGGGAGCCCCGACCGGCCCAGTTCTTTGGCACAGAAACTAATTGTAGGAATACAGCCAGCTGCTTTTCCTTACCTGAGCCAATGGCTGTTTCTAGTGTTACTTTTAACAGCATCACTCCATCGCTCCGTCGCCATCCAATAGCCATGCCAGAACACTCCAGGACCAACAGTGCCCCCATCCCGCTGAGAATGACCACCCCAAAACACGCGAGGACAAACCCACCACTCCTATTTACACGGAGTTAGGGCTCAGACAATGCAAGATCCCCTTGAGTTAACCCCAAGACAGGCTGACCAACCATTTACAGGTGTGTCTCAAACATAGCAGGGTCTGTGCTCTGCACCATGGCTCCTCCGTTCGGCTCCTTCCCCATCAGTGCATCACACAGATTCACAGAGCAGAAGGGTTT